TTTTAAGTACTTGGACTGATGTTGTATAATATTAATGTAAACACTGGGTTTTGTAACGAGTGTGCTGTTGCGTAAACAGCAAGCAACATTATAAACACAAATCATACACCTTACACGGTACACTTGCATCTTAATCAGAAACAATTCCGCGGGAGTTTAGCGAGCAATACAAAAAATCGGGTTATACACATCTATAGATGAGAAGATTTCTTGAGAAAAGCAAAAAACAATAGTCAATAATACCCTATATATATAATATATATATATAATATATACGGTATACCCAACAATATTTTCGGGGAAGTTTGGTTCAAGCCAAACTGTAAAGGAACTAATTACAAAGTTACAAGATTTTACAATATTGTGATCCTAGAAACTGGGAAATTGTATGATATTACATCGAGAGGTTCATAAAACATGCCAGCTACTAAAAGACAAATTCTGTATATTCTGTATTATATAGCCATGTGCTGGAATTTATCCAGGAGTTCAGGCACATACGCAGATATTTTTGGGGGTTTTCATTTCAGCAGTTCCTGTGAAGGAAGCATGAAATTAATTATTGTTAATAAAAAAGAATCACGAAATTTTGCTACTTTAATTTTGCAATTGCTATACATCTTTTGTCGATCAAGGCCGCTTTGATCATTAATATAGCTAAATGTTTTGCGAAAACCTTTCATCCTGTCTCGCTAATTAAGTCGAATATTTTTTAAAACTTACTTACTTGTACTTGAAAAGGTCTCCTCCTAGTCGTTGGAGTGGCCTGCACCACATAGTAACTCCTTTCTCCGGCGTATTAGACCTCTCCAGTGAACCCTGTCTGTAGCTTGTTGTTCTGCATCTTCTATCGTGATGTTATCGACACCTGTGAAGATTGCTGCATCCTCCCGGACACATGACAACCAGTTTTTCCGAGGTCTACCTCTTGACCTTTTACCATGCTTTGGGATCCAGTGCAGAAGATAGTTGGGTATTCTTTCTTCTGGCATCCTCACCACATGGCCAAACCATCGGAGTCTAGCTGCTCGTACGAAAGTATCAACAGGGGCGATGTTAGCCCGCTTAAGTACATCAGCATTAGATACATGATAAAACCATTTGATTTTCAGGATTCTCCTCAGACATCTATGATGGAACACCTCAAATCTTTTCATCTGCGTCTGTGTGGTATTCCATACCTCACTTCCATAAAGCAGTATAGTGAGCACAGCTGCTTTGTAAATTCTGATTTTAGTTGGAGTCTTAATGCTGCGACTGTACCATATACTGCTAAGCTGATAGAATGCCCCAGAGGCCTTTTGAATTCGAGCTGATAGTTCTTTGTCAATTGTTCCATTCGCACTGATGATTGCACCCAAGTAAGTGAAATTGCTGACCTGCTGTATTGGGAAACCTTCCACATTGATGTCCATAGTGTCGTCTTTAGAATACGGCCTCTGCGATGCACTTTTGCTGACAACCATGCTCTGTGTTTTGCCAGCATTAATCTTCAGACCCGCATAGGCACTGTATTTGCAGAGAAGGTCAGTGGTTTCCTGCAGCCCCTCTTTTGAGTTATCTAACATGGCCATGTCATCAGCGTAATCAGTGTCCAAGAGATGTTTCTCTTGGACCGAAAATACTGAAGATAAAGAGAAAAACGAAGAATTATCGAGCATGTTAAAGTTGTATACCCTAAAACTCTCAGTTCCACTGCTTTGTCCACAGTTTTGCCCAGTTTGGTAGTATAAACTTATAAAGAAGTAACAGTACACTCACACTAACATAAATATAATGGTACACAAAGTGAGCCCTATGTTTTCCTGATGCTGAAGACAATAACACTATAACAGAATAACTGCACGTGCAGGGTAAACACTGTATATTGTCCTCTGCAAAGTTATTGTGCTCTGCAAAGTTATTGTCCTCTGCAAAGTTATTGTGCTAGCTGTGAAAGAAAATGATGTCATTGCTTCTGCAGAGTCTGCAGAAAAGTGGACCACAAATTAATATTGGTTCAAACAGCAATATATATTGCTGACTTCTAAAGGCCGTCGAAATTGTATAGATGATCAAAACTTAGGAAGTTAGGAATGCTTATAAAATGTTGGTTTTATGATGTCTTAAATCTGACCACGATCTTCTCGCGAAGAGAAAGTACTTGTATAAATAAAATAGCCTATACACTTCTACACTTATACAGTATACCTCATATCACTATATTATTATATATCACTATATATTATATCACTATATATTATATCAGGAGATTCAATGATTTAACATAAAAGGTTCAAGCGTTCTACATATGACTATAATACCACTACTATAAATTAAACTCGACCAAAAGTCCAAAGCAGTAAAAACACAAAAAAGTTGCCAAAAAGGGACCCTCCGTTGAAAAACATTTTAGCACTCAAATGGATTTACGGAGTTGAAAACTTGCGATTTTTAGCACGGTATTATTAAAAAATAATATATAGAAAAGCTAAAGATTGTCATTTTATAATTTTGATTTAGGCTATAGATTTTTTATAATTATTATCAACTTTTTTTTTTAATTGTAGTTGACGAAGTGAAAGTCTACACACTGAGTGGAGACTCTCACTTCGTCAACTACAATTCAAAATAAATGATTGACCCACTCATAAGAGCAAAAAAAGATTACTAATTATTATTAACGTCGGAAGGGAGAAAAGATTGACGATAGAAAATGTCGTTCTTTCATCAAAGTTGGACTGCGTCGTTGCGTAACAACATCAAAAGATTGCACGTGCGCGAGCAAGCACAGATTATAAATGCGCGTTGCCGTGCTTTATGATGCGTCACATTTACGCTCACTCTATCACTTATATAGTTATATTCATAACTTAGGTTGTGATTGATATTTTTGATGCGATAAAAAGTAAAAAGTATTGTTTAGGAAATATTAAACATATTTTTGTCATTGTCAAATAAAATATATATGCTTTTTACATTAGAACGTATCTGATTTTTTTTTAATTTCATAAAATAATGCTTTCGACTTATAGCGGATTTTTAATAAAAATATACAATAAAGCATTGAACCTCAAAAGACCAGGGCTTTAAACTAAAAGTTGCCGACTAAAACCAGGGAAACTGGTTTTACAATTCACAATTGCTCCAGTTCTTCTTCTGAATAAAAATTGCAGGACGTATGGGTGGCAAATAAAATAATAACAAAGCAGCGCAGATTGAGATAATTATCAGTTTAATTGCCAACAAATGCTGAGAAAACACTGCAGATTTTCCTTGTTTACTGCTTGCAAATTTGCCTAATGTATCCATTTCCTTGACCTAATCCTTGCTGCCAATACCCGCTCAATTTCACCACCCTCCGCTCAATCAAACCTGCCCACGTGCATGCGCGCCTCTCCAATGGATTGCAGGAGATTCGATGATCATGACGTGATCACGGATGCAATGAAAATTGTGGAGATATGCATATGGTTGTTTTGTACCAAACAATGGACCTGTGTTTGCTATCGTATTATATTGTGCAACTTAACGCTAATCAGCTCTTACTAGAAGAATTTCCGCCATTATTGCCTCCGCAACATCTACCTCCGCAATCATTCCTAAGCAGCATCTGCCAATCCTGGCCAAGACGCACGTCGGGAGTACTGACTATTAAGATTAATGTGACGAGGTGTGTTTTATTGGCATTTAAACGTTGGTATTTGTAATATGTGGCGAAGAAAATATGTGATATTTTAAAAACAATTAGATGATTGTCACTTTATAATGATCAGAACATAAACTTAAAATCGGGCAATCATATTTCTAACTAAATCCATCGTTTTTCATTTGCAAAGATCAGGATATTAGTCCGAAAGTGTCTGAAATACCGAATCAAACCAAACTTTTCCTTTCAACTATGAGTGCACTGGAGATGGAACCACAAGTAAAAATGTTGAAGGGAACAAGAAACGTAAATCCGGATCAAAACATTATTGATATAGATGATATGTTTCTTGGGTAAATTTGTATTGATCCCGTTTGTTGCGACAAGGAAAAGGATCTTATCAGGAAGGGAACAGGAAACGTTCATAAAAAACATCTGTGTAAATATTCACAGCAGTTCAAATGGATATCATAAAAAAATACAATTAATATAATTAATGTATTGTAAAATTACACCCTCAAAGTGTGACGAAACGAAACACAGTATTTACTACCCCGCTACTAGTACCATGCGACAAAGATATTGCATAAAATATATCTAAACAATTTACACAATACGGTGCCCATGTCTGAGCGGCTCATTTCAAAAACAGTCATCCTCGGAGCAGAAAGTTGAAAATAAAATCGGGTTTTATAAAATCAAGAAAGGACGTAGAATGGGGGGAGGGGGGGGGGTTAAATTAGATTAACGGGTGAAACGGAATTAAAGTTATATACATTCAATATAATTGATTTTATTGACGCACCGAAAAACAAACTAAAAAATAATAAGAGGATTCTCGAAAAAAACATCACACAAAAAATACCTAACCACTAACAAAAGTCTAACGAGGCTATAACTGATCATACAAATATTTTTTCAACTTACTCTTAAAAGACACAATATTATCGATGTTATGGACTTTAATAGGGAGAGTTTTAGGATTCAGGTGTATAGTAGATACAAAATTTATTCGAAAATTACCCTGCAATTCACATTATATCTAATCAGTGACGTCACTTTTAATTATAAAGTTATAACTAACAGTCGTGCCTTACTTTAGTCGTTTAATAACGATGGTTTACTTCCTAAAACAATTCTTTATGGGACCCATTTCTAAAAAAACAGACAATTTTATCGAATTTAATTTTCTACTGAAAAGTTTCTGATCAATATATTTAAGCTCTTTAAAGTAAGTATTTGGTAATAAAGTAATAAGGTTAAGCAGTGAGTCTCGCTCTAACTTACTGGCCTTACTACTTAATATACTGTCTTCAAATATCTGACTATCCTACACTAAAGTACTATAGTAGTATACTTATAAGCCCCCTTACTATAGTACCTCGCTAACTGAGCAGTCTCTAAATTCAGATACAAAAACGTAGTTCGACTCAATGTCCTTTGGCTGGTCAATTCTTTCTTCAGCAGATTTTCGTTTCTGGTGGAATCTTGCTGAGTCTCCTAGTTCTACACATGCGTACACACAGTCAGTCTCAGCGGCACCTGTATCTCCTCTGCTAATGGTAAGAACAGTTGAGCTTGAATTCATATTCTTTTGAGTTTAAACTGCTTTGATTTTCTAATTATTAAATGAGCAGAATTACTTTTTAGTGCTATATGTCTATAGCATTTTTTATTTTCAGCAATTCACCTTTCTCCAATTGGATATATCACATTATCGATGTAGTTTGACTCCTTTCCAGTGGTCGTCATACTGAGTCCTTGATCGTCCCTGGTACACAAAGTTTTATTGATTTTTATACAATTATTTTGATGAAACTTTGTCAGGTGGTAATTTACACGATTTAATAATTTATTTTTTGTACAGAAATATATAATTCAAAGTACATATAATAACAAAGTTAGTAGTTAATAGTTAATAGTTCATTAAATTAAACCTGTTATTAACTGGAGGGAGTATGTTCTCAATGTATGTTGGTTCCTCTTCCTCAGGGAGTTTGTTCTCAATGTATGTTGGTTCCTCTTCCTCAGATGTGATCTCATGGTAGGCGCTCTCTTTATCCTCTTCACGGACTGCTTTGGTTTCCCTGTAATGTGAATTCTAATTAAAATATACTACTGTATACCTGATGATAATTTTGCGTAATTGCCGATGTCTCAACACAGTTAGGGCCGAAAAACAAAAGACTCGTGAAATGATTTGAACTGACGAAAAGGAAGGTGTATTATTTAAGTTTAACAAATCTAGTAAAGCATTAAATTGTTAATTCTTACCTTCCACTCACTGAACTCGTAACAGTCAGTGCACTTCTATCTGAGCGTGTATTTGTAGTAAAATTAGCATACATGCTTTCTTCGGCAGTATTCGAATCAAGTTCTTCATTTACAGGGAGTGATAATAACTGACCCAATGTTGCATATGAGTTATTTTCTACACGCACCGTAGTGTTACTATCTGTACAACTTCTCAGGAGACCTGGGCTTTCTGACGAAATCAAGCGTTTATTGGACTGCGTTTTATCAAGACGGGCATAGAGATCATCACCAACATGTTCTTCAGAATCGATATTATTTTTATATTTCACTGCATTCATCTGATTTGAGGTACCAATCATGCTATTCCTTTTTACATTAGCAACAGCATAGCAGTAATCGTCATTACCTACTGGATTTATGAGCACTTCATTTGAACCCCCAGCGTTACTATTACAGGTAACAGTGTGAGCACCCTCTACATCTCTATTAAACTCGTTCAATGTTGAGTAAGTATCAGTATGTGCCTTTGTCTGTCTGTTCATTGAGTGCACTTTCAGTAGAGGTTTATTTATCGTTGCAGACCTATTAAGACAGGCGTACGCATCTTCGTCTTCGATATCATTATCTTCTTTACTAACCAAAGGTACAATTACATTGACCGTCTGATTGAGTGTTGCATAGAGCGCTGAACCCTCTTGAATACCTTCGTTTGCTCTCAAAGCAGCATATGTAAACTTTGAAGACATCTGTTGATCATTCCCATGATAATGATCTTTAGAGTTTGCATCTACTTCTTCCGCATGCCTACTCTTGTTGAAAATTGCATAGCTATAGGTGTCATCACAAGCTGTAGAAGCTCTGTCAATATGGCTACTACCTTCATCTCCATCAATTCTAACAATTGCCGGATTTATTGCACAGTCAGCGTTTGAGTATGCTGGATTATTTACATTTTGATTGATGGAGTTCATCCCCTCAGTAACGAGATTCTCGATTAACTCCGGTGTTGTAGATCTCCTTCGTAAATAGATGAGTCCAGAAACACAAAGTAGGATTGCCAGTCCAACCATACCAGAGGCAATTCCAATTGTTTGAATCGTGTTGTTCTTCGCTGGGGAATTCAAACATTCTATGGTAAAGTCATTATCATGGTCTTGCTCACCATTCATGCAGTCTGTCCTTTGTATATTCGAACCGAAACAATCCTGTATTTTAACAGTGTTTTGCTTACTGATTTGACCATCTGGGCATGGTTTACAATCATTGACTGTTCCCCAGAATCCCTCTGTACAAGAGCTGCTTACTGAGAAACATTCTTGTATTTTAACTGCAGAGGGGCGACTGACTTGACCTATCGGACAACTTAAACACTGACTATCCACACCATAAGAACCTTCTTTGCAGAAACTGGTTGCTAATGAGCACTCTTGGATTTTAACTGCGTTATTATTACTAATGGTCCCATTCGGACAAGGTGAACAGTCTTGACCAACTCCGAATGTGCCTTCAGTGCAGGTGCTAGTCACATTTTGGCAGTCTTGAACTTTTACAGTGTGATCGGAGCTAATAAGTCCTGTTGGGCATAAAGCACAATCGTTATCTGTTATGTACCTTCCTTCGCTGCAGAGACTCACAACTTCTGCACATTCTTCTATCTTCACAGACCCTACCTCACTTACTTCACCAACTGGACACTTGGTGCACGTTCCATAATGTCCGTATGTGCCTGCTTCACAAGTGCTTACAACTGAGTAGCACTCTTGCACTTTTACAGCATTATAAAGACTGATCTGACCTTTTGGACAACTCATACAGTTATCTTCTTCTCCCCACGACCCTTTTGTACAATCGCTATTCATATGGAAGCACTCCTGTTGCTTCACTGCTGAAGGGTTACTTGTTAGTCCCACCGGACAGTTCGAACATTGGGCGTTTACTCCAAATGTTCCAGCTTCACAGTTACTTGTTGCCATGGTGCAGTCTTGCTCTTTAACAGCACCTTCAGCGCTTATTTGTCCTTGAGGACAGGATGTGCACTCATTTCCTACTCCATAGTCCCCTTCAGCACAACTACTTGACTGTCTGTCACAATCTTGTTCCTTTACAGTCGATAGAATGCTATTGGTTCCACGAGGACAAACTTTACAGTTATCGTCTATACCGTATTCCCCTGTTTTACAATTACTATTAGCTGATGAGCATTCTTCTATCTTCACTGAACCCATATCACTTACCCTACCAACTGGACACTTGGTGCACGTTCCATAATGTCCGTATGTGCCTGCTTCACAGGTACTTTCAACTGAGTAGCACTCTTGCACTTTTACAGCATTAGAAAGACTGATCTGACCTTTTGGACAACTCATACAGTCATTTTCTTCTCCCCAGAGCCCTGTTTTGCAATAACTGTTTACCGGCAAGCACTCCTGTTGCTTCACTGCTGAAGGGTGACTTGTTTGTCCCACCGGACAGTTCGAACATTGGTCGTTTACTCCAAAAGTTCCAGCTTCACAGTTACTTTTTGCCATGGTGCAGTCTTGCTCTTTAACAGCACCTTCAGCGCTTATTTGTCCATGAGGACAGTGTGTGCACTTATTTCCTACTCCATAGTCCCCTTCAGCACAGTTGCTTGTCTTTAGTTCACAATCTTGTTCCTTTACAGTCGATTCAATGCTATTGGTTCCATGAGGACAAACTTTACAGTTATCATCAATGCCGTATTCTCCATTTTTACAATTGCTATTAGCTGATAAGCATTCTTGTATCTTCACTGAACCCATATCACTTACTTCATCAACTGGACACTTGGTGCAGCTACCATCATGTCCGTATGTGCCTGCTTCACAGGTACTTGCAACTATGTTGCACTCTTGTATCTTTACAGAATATTGAGAGCTGATATGGCCTTTTGGACATGTTTTACAGTCTGAGTTGATCCCATACTCATTTTCTGGACACTTGCTTTCTTTCTGCTCACAATCCTGTATTTTCACTGTTTGCTCAATGCTACTTGTACCCTTAGGACATACCAGACAATTAGAACCAACCCCGTATTCTCCTTCTCCACAGGTGTTTGAAGCAAATTCACACTCCTGGATTTTTACTGAGTGTTCTTCACTAGTCCTACCAACTGGGCATTTAGCACAGTCTTCACCAATACCATACGTACCTGCCCCACAGTTGCTACTAACCTGATAACATTCCTGAATTTTGACTGCATGAACAAGACTTATCTCTCCTATTGGACATGCTTGACAAATACCGTTAACTCCCCAAGACCCTACCTCGCAAGTGCTTGTCACAGGAACGCATTCCTCTTCCTTCACTGCATAATTATTGCTTGTTTGTCCTTGGGGACAGTCTGCACAGGAGTTTTCAACTCCGTAAGTGCCATTTTTGCAACTACTGTCCTTTTCGAAACATTCTTGTTCCTTTACAGCACTATCAAGGCTGATGTGTCCATCCGGGCATGGTGTGCAGGCCCACTCAACACCAAAGTTTCCTTTTGTACATTCACTTGTCTTCGACTCACATTCCTGCACCTTAACAGACCCTGCCAGGCTGGTTTCTCCATCCGGGCACTTAGTGCAAGTGCCACCGTGCCCATGATAGGTACCTGGTTCACAGTTTTTTTGTTCTACTTCAAAGCATTCTTGTTTCTTCACAGCACCATGGTTACTTATTTTACCTAATGGACAAATCTTACATGTATTAAGAACCAATGGACCATTGCCTAAGCAGTCATCATCTTCACAGCTCAGGACTCCATACTCTCCTGCCACGCAACTACTTGTTGCAGCAAAGCAATCTGCACTTCCTGTTAGGCTGGTCTGTCCTAAAGAACAATCCTGGCAGATCTTACCAACCCCCCTTTCTCCTACTTCACAGTTGTAAACAACTTTTGTGATAGTATGAGTGTCTAGAATTCTATCTCCATCTTTTAGAATGCAACTTATAATGTTTTCAGTCGTCAGGGACAAAATGATCTTCATCTTTGGCGGGTTACTGTTGAAATAGCGACTCTCATCGGTATCATACTTTATAAAAGCTGGCGGTGTGTTCTCACAATCTAGAGCTGTGTCAGTAAGAGGCCATCCTTCTACTTCCCATATAAAAGCCCCATCCTCTTCACTTGTGTAATAGTCGAGATCTGGTTTTGATATAACTTTTACCTCGCTGGAGTAGGTTAGCTCGTACGTTCTGGTGACACTATTTTTAAAGTTCTTGTTGAAGATGGTGCAGGTCCAAGAACCAAGATCAGTCAGACTTGGAGAGCCAATCACTAGAGTGGATTTGATGTAGTGATCCGCTCCTGAGTCCTCATATGTTTCTGTTATTGACTCTAGAATTATACGACCACCTTTAGTCCAACTAACACCTAAATATGGTGCCCCTGATCCTGAGCAAGTTAGGGTAACAGCAGTTCCAAGTTGTATTGGTAGTGAGACCGATGCTTCAGTGTCACAAAGTGTTGGAGCGGGGCTGCTGCAAGCTGAGACGTACTCAACAGCCGTGCATCCATACTTAGTCTGCATGTTATTTCTTATCCTGGTTGTGTCAGAAAGTCGGAGATTTTCAGTTTGGGATTGAAAAATAGACCAATTTTGTACCGAACCAAAGTTGTAATCAAAACTTTTAGCCTCTTCTCCCACTCCGAGAAACAATTTGTAGAAATCTGTATTTAGATCTGATACCTGAATCTTTGTTGGCTTCCCCCCTTCTGTGTCAACAACTTTTTCACCGTACGTCTGACCCGATGATATCTTTCCATATAACCTTATCTTTGGTTCATCGCAATAAACTTTAAATGCTAAAAGTCGTTTTTTTTTCACATAATTATCCATGAACCTAAACTCATCAAATTGAGACGAAGTCTGAAAATAATTCAAGCTTATAGATACAACCCCTGTCACTGAATCAGCTGCCACCGCCCTAATATCCACATACTTATGTCCAGTTACATCAGCCCATGAATCGTCTTTGTATATAAACTTACAGATACTCGAGCAACTTTCTGCTGTCATCATGGGAGACAATGCGATCCAGACTATGAAGAGCACTAACCTGTCCATGTCTAGAGTATCAAATTACCAGGTTGCCAGGTTACCAGGTTACCTGTAATACTCATGCACGGAGGTATGGCTTTACAATCACTACAGGTCTTAGGAACCCCTGCCGCTGGAGGATCTTTACTCTATTCAACAAGTTGTAAAGAATAAACGATAGTTCTCTTCAGATGTAGGTTACAAACCTTAACTTTCAAAACAAACGGTTGAACCTAATTAAGATACAGATTTTTGTGAAATAATAACCAACATATGCAACATTAACATTAACAACAGGATATTACTATACTAGCTCAAAGTATATCCCTTTTAGATTCGTTTCGTCATCGTAATCCGACCCGGGAAGATTGCCCGCATGCCGACCTTGTACGTTAGTATCACCGCCATTATTGTTGCATCTTTACCAATCTTATATCGGCGACTCAACATAAGTATTCACATAGGTATTCACTAAGAAGAACGTGTTATTCATGTCACATGTATAGTTATACACACGCACCTTTTTTATACCCTGGCTGTGACAAATCCAAAAAACAATTCAAGACTGATTCTCGTAACTTATTCTCGTGACAATAACTTATTTCTATAATGTAACTTTACTGATGTTCTATTAGTGATGACGCTTCATGCCGCGTCATGCACACACGTGGTCATGACCACATCACTGTTGGATCACTTGGCTGTGGTATATATGGTCCAAATAATGCGTTGGTAGCGCAAAACAGTGGCATGTGTGTGATATTTTATTCGAGAGGACTAACTAAAGTTTTATCTATCACTTAAAGTAGTTAACGAGAAATCCAAATCGCTGTGAGTTTAGGATTACGGCGATTAACTCCTCTACGCTTATTTGATTTAATTTAATTTAATTAATTTAATCTAATTATCGCATGAGCTCTGACGGACAGATAATTGGGAATTAGCGTTCAAAAATACATCGAACTAATGTCTTTTCAGCTGCCGGGGTTATTTTAGAAACATCTTGGCATTCGAGTGCAGTGATTAAGCACACTTAAGACGGTCATTAATATTATATATTGATCCTAATTAATATACAATTTGTCGAATTTTTTAGCCTAGTTAAATAGTTACAGGATCAACTAGACAATTGTCCAAGTTTAAGGCATCGGTGATGTTTTTCGAGACATTTTATTACCAAGCTGGTTCTACCCTGCATGTTCATATGTATGTATGTACGGAAGTCAGAAGCCCATAATGATCAGGGTCGGTAGCATGAAACATGAACAGTATCCAGAAAATCTTTGAAAGAGAAAATCTTTGAAAAAATACGAATAATATTTCGTTTATGAGTACAGATTCGAAGTGGAACAGCGAGTTCCGTAGTATGATAAAGTATTAACACAAGTTAACTAATGATATTTTGTATATGAGTATAGATACGAAGTGGAACATCGAGTTCCGTTCTGGCGAGGTCTAACTTTGCTCTGCAAATAAATTATCTTTCGATTTTTGGCCTAAATAATCGCGATTTTCTTTTGTCCTTGGTTACAGTATTTAGTACATACTATGTAGAATTCAGCTTCCTTAACTAAATATTTGCATGGGACCGGAAATTTTTCCCGTGAATCATGATGTAAACGTAATATTTAATAATATCATAAAAGTAACCGGCCGTGCCTACTATACGGGACTGAGATTATTGTTGCAAGATACTAGTTTTTGTGATTTTATCTTGTAGTGATTTTAATGACTGTAGTGATTTTAATGACTTTAGTGATTTTAGCGATTGTAGCAATTTTAGCGATATAAGGTCAAACTTTCCGATTTTAATCTTGTAAACAAGCTCAGTAAACGTATATTTTGCTAAGAATGGCGTAAATTTTGTAAGTGTGGTAAATATTTTTTATGAATGATAGTGATACTCGTCTATATTTCTTTGAAGTATGAATTAAGTATGAAGTAAAGAAGTAACAATGTTAGTCCATCAACATTCAACAATGGACGACGAATAGTTTTGTCATTCGTAACATTTCATTAACGTCAGCATGCTATGTCTTATGCTGCAGTTTTTATTTTATCCTAACGTCTTTGCTTCAGAAGTGATAGCCGAAAAAGCTTGATGAGTCGTTTGCAACCCGGACAAGTGGGACGTTTTTGTCCATCGATGTATCTTTGAAAGTAAACGAGATACAGATTCGCTTTTTTCGATATCTCATTTTTGCTGTGAAGTGACCTAGTGTGTTAAACGGCATCAAAATCGGTAAAATTTAAAACGTGTCGTCCCTAATGGGTAAACGTCATCCAATTACGATCATAACAGCTGTACTATAAAAGTTACAATTTTTCACTTTTTTTTAATTATATTCCACGAAATCGCGGTTGGATTTTGAAATAATCGGTCTCATAAAAAGCATAAATAACATCATTTGTATTCAATAGAGGGTAGAGAATGTGGTCAAGAAAAGCGATGATAGCGATTATTTCTGCACTGTTAATCATGAGCGTAGTTTACAGTAACTGTAATGAAAATGTTGTGCCGGCGATGGAAGAAACTTATTGCAAGCTAATTGAAAACAGTGCAGATATGGGCTACGTAATAACCAATGGTCTTCAAGATGTTATTCGCCTTAGCACTGAAGATGTTAACCTCATAAAATCTAAGCTGATCAACAACGGTGTTGTGGTTATTGAGAATCAAAACTTGACCAGGAAACAGCAGGTGGACTTCACTAAAAAACTTGGAAAAATCATGGTTTTACCAAGGTCATTTGCAGGCAATGACCCAGACCCTAACTTTCCAGCGATTCAAAGAGCTACGAATTACTGGTCAAATGGAACATGGAAAGGAAAAACAAATTGTTTCGGCTGCTACTGGCACAAAGATGGAGACTTTCAGCAGAATGGGTACATGGCCAGTATTATGTACGCAGACGAAGTTGCAGAAAACCGTTCAACAACACTGTTCCTCGACAACTGCGAGGTATTTGAACGACTCTCCAAAAGGATAAAGCATCATCTTTCAGAGTCCGTTTTCACAGTTTCTGTTTGGGAGATCCCAGATTTAATAAAAAGCAAGGAGGAAGACTTGGCACTGTTTCCCCGAGTCAAGAGACATAGAGGCATACACCGCCATCCTGAGAACGGTAGAACATGCGCTTACATGACCCATACTCTGATAACTGAACAGGGGTTCGCCCCTCACTTAACTGACTCATGGCGGGAAGTAACAGAGAAAAGTGGGAAGTACACACACTACTGGAAGAAGGGTGATCTCGTGATATGGGATAATTTAGCGGTGATGCATAAAGCTGGAACTAAAAGCGTGGAGGGACCTGATGGCCGGACCCCACGAATGTTGTACCGGACTCAAGTATTTATTTAGGCGAACAAGAAAACGGGAAAGGCCATCATGGTGGTAAAAATGGTGGTGGTCAGAATAAAAGGAACCGAGAGCTTGAACACTTCTTAATACACTTCAGCACTTCATAATACACAGCTACTTACTAAACTGTCATCAGTCATGTGAACCCTACCTAGGTTTTTGGTTATTCGGCTGTTAGGATTGTTAGAATATGGATCACATCACAAATGATACGTCACTGATTGGGCCATGTGATGTGATACCTGTGGGAGCCCGGAATGAGAGGTTCTTAATTGTCGGTCACCGAGCTGTGGCCCTGATTGAGTGACGGTATTAACATAATCCTCCCTCTCTCCTTGCTCACCTCCCTTCCACTAGAGAGACGCACTAAAGGTATGTTCTGTGGTCCTGTTGTCTTCCTCTTTCAAGAAAAGCAGCTCCGAAAACGTATGGTATCCAGACAACTCAGATATAAAAGAGACTGCCATTTTGAATCCCATGTTTGGATAATATTTTTCCTGGACCTTAACTCCAGGTGAGTGATAAAGTTTTTGATGTCATTATCATTGCATTTGGTGACGTCATTATCATTGAATTTGGTGACGTCATGAAGCTTAAAGTTTATAGTGCTAATTATGTCAACTTTTAAAGTCGATTTTTACCATAAAGGAGTGATTTGAATTGAACATTAGGCCGTGTTAATCTTAAAGTTAAATAACGTAAATTAGATGAAAATTGTTTTGCATGATAAGTGGTAATAATATAACCGCATTTAAAGTTAATATTTTTTTGGGAAAAAAATGTTAATCATTATTATAGTTATACAATAAATTTAAATGTCTATCATCAGAGTAAATTGTACCAACATTCCTATTGTTTTTTTGCTTACTCTTAGTGAGGGGAAAAGTGGCATTCCGTTGGATTTGTAGGTTTGCCGTGTTCCTACTTGAATTTACTTTGCGTTCTTTACTTTGAGAAGGATCAAACAAAGAGAAACGAGGAGGATAACAACGTTAGAACAAAAGGGTATATTAGGGAATAGTAACAACACGTATAAACAAGACCGACTGAAGGGAAGATGGGAAATGTGAAGGGAATAGGGAAAATGTGGGATAACTTTACTCCAAAACTCTAACTATTTATATGGGCTGATTGCTTGCGAGGCAATACTAACGGTATATCTGAAATATCTAATCAGTGCGTGGCGTTGCTTAATTAAGCTTAAAAACGGTTTAACTAATGAGCCAAATAATTGCTTGAGATCGCAATGGCTATTGACACTGAACATAAAACGGTTTGAACTTGGAACCAAATACCGTTAACTTTAAACCGACCAATATCTGGGATCCCTACACCACCCCCTCCCCAAAAATATAGGGCGGTGTGGATCAGACTGGTCAAACCATATATCGCTATAAGTCCTTATGATAATTTAAAAACAAAATGTTAAAATACTGATACAGTTCACTTTTTATAACGCATGATTTCAGGGATGTTAGGGTATATCTCCTTCTGCTTCTTGATCATAGGTTCATCAGCTGTTCCTTTTGTGTGGGCTTCCGAGGAGCCACTGTCGGCTGCGACGTTCGGGGACTGTGTCTTCCTGCACAATAGACGAAAACCAATTGGGGTAGCCAATGCGAAACGATGAGCTGATGAGGAGGGCATTAACTTTGAAGGAAAAGGGATGTCGTATTCCTTGTTGACCGATCAGATAGGCTTTCTGATCATGACCAGCACAAAGATCGTGTTGTCGGGGTTAACCGGGTGTACGTTGCATCCCGTTAACCAGGACTCATTCCTAGTGCTGGATCATGTTGGTGGCGAATCTGATACGTGCCAACTTGGGCCGAGATTTGAGGAGGGTTCTTAGGAGTCCGCATTGTGGGATGGGGATTAGTAGTATGGTCGCTGCTCAGTGATGCATGATATTCTGCTTATATCGTAGTTCCTCGCTGGGGCTCGTAGCACTGCCTTGGGTCTCAAACCGGCTCTCCTTGTAGCCCTGTCATTGGCATTGGAAGTTTGAGCGTTAGGTTCCTGGGACTGTTGCGAATCATGAGGTTCCGCTGCATTCTGCTCATCATTTTCGTCATCATTGTCGTCATCATTGTCGTCCTCTGGCACGTCCTGGTGCATTGGTTCGTCTGTCCTGCTGGTTGCAGCGACTGGTTCCGTATGTGTTGCCGTCTGGCCATAGTAGCTGTAGTCTGGGGACCAAGCGTCATCATCTGAATCACTGATACTCTCCTCTGGGTTTTCCTCCTCGTCTGGTTCCACTGGGTTTGTCAGCATAGGGTCTGTTCTGAAGTTGGTTGGTAGTTTCCGGATTTTGTCGAAATGTACCACCTGTTCTTTCCCTGTTTCGTCTGACACAATTTCGAAGTTGACCGTCCCTAGCTTTCGAACAATCGTGTGTGGACCGGTAAGAGGTAGCTTTAACTTGTTATACTCTCTGCCTGGCTTTATCGCAGGCACATAAATCATCACTTTGTCCCCAACGTTGTACTCCGTCAATCTTACACACTTGTCATAGTATCGCTTCTGCTGCTGCTGAGCCCTCTTTATGTTCTTTGCTGCGAGCTCCCACGTATCTTTCAACTGGTGATAAAGTCGAGAAGCAAGATGATGTTGGGATTGATAGTATTCCGACGAAGTAGTTCCAAAGACGAGATCGTTAGGCACTCTGGCTTCTCTTCCGTGGAGTAGGAGGAAAGGTGTGAAACCGGACGATTTGCAGACGCTGGTGTTCATAGCGAAGGTCACGGCCCCTATTCTCTCTGGCCATTGATCGGGATTCTCCCCAATATATTTTGTGAGTGCCACCTTTATCTGCTTGTTCTTGTTCTCTGCGAGGCCGTTGGTTGATGGTTTGTATGCTGTCGTTCTTGACTTCTGGATCTGCAGCACGTTGTACAGCTCCTTCATCACTTTGCTGGCGTCAAGGTTGGCTCCTTGGTCGGATAGAATTCGTTCAGGCACTCCGTGGTTGACTATCCATGAGTTGATTAGGGCCCTAGCAATGGTTGGTGACTTGGCATCGGTAAGTGGTACTGCAACAACCCAGTTCGTAAATTTGTCGACCATGGTTAGGCACCACTTGTACTGCGCAACTCGTGATAGAGGTCCAATAAGGTCGATGCACACAAGTTCGTTCGGCCTAGCCACCGAGAATGGGTGGAGTTCTGCTTTGGGCTTTGCTTTATACGCCAGGTTAGGCAGAAAACACCTTTTACAAGTATTGCAATAGAGCTGAACTTCTGTCTTCATCTTTGGCCAGAAAAATGAATTCCTCAGTCTCTCCAGAGTTTTGGCTGGTCCTAGGTGACCCGATGCCGGGATGTCGTGGTTGTTAAACATCATCTCTTCCTTTAAATCCTTCGGTACGCAGATAAGGAGCCTATACTTCTTCGTACCCTTCCATTTAAAACAGAGAAGATCCTTCTTATTCACAGTGAGAGATTCAAAGCAGCTGTAGTACTGACGCAGGTCTTCGTTGAACCCGGTTGTCTCTCTCTTCTCTGGTTTTCCATTCACGAACCATGACCTCACGGTACTAAGGGTCTCGTTTTCTAGTTGTGCCTCGAGCAAAGTTTCACTGCTAACGTTTGGCGCTGGTATAGGGTTATCAAATGAGCCTACGGGTCCTGTGCTTTGCTCCTCTTCATCTTCTTCGGTCTCTGATGCTCGATCATTAACGAATGTCACAGAATTTGTCAGGGATACGTGACTTGATGGTTTCTTCTGCTTCTTCTTCTTTTCCTTCTTGCAGAGAGTCGACTGACCGCCTTGTGATCCCGACGACGAGGAGTGACCTGTCGGCGAGGGGTGTGAACATCTGCTGCAGGGAGCGTCACTATCATGATCACTATCAGAAGAGCTTTCCGTGTCGACTGAAACTGGGTTGATGACGTGTGGGAGACTTCTTGCATCATACTCATTCTGATTTGTCTTGATTGTCTCCAGAAATTCGTCTTTCTTTTCCACTGAAGAAAATCTGTCTTCCCACCACTCGTAAAGCATATCACTTTCCTGGGGTAGTCTTGAGAGTGCGTCGGGAAGCCCCATGTCGTCGCCCTTCGTGTAGGTGATCTTGAAATCATACTCTTCTAGCTCCATAATCCAGGACAGAAGGACGTCACAGTTGGTCTTTCTGAGAAACTTGTCCTGTGATATAGCCTTGTGATCCACGTGAACAATGAAGGGTTTTCCAATGGTGTAGAACCTCCAGTGGGTGGCGAAGTGCTTGAGGGCCAGTAACTCTCGTTTGAAGGTGGGGTAGGCTCTCTCGGCTGGAGAGAGTATCTTTGACCCATAGGAGATCGGGTAGAACTGTCCGTCAATCATGTGGCCTATCGAACCACCAATACAATACGAGCTACTATCCGTAAAGAGGTGAAGAGGTTCTGTCGTGATAGGATATATTAGGATGGGTGCCTTGGTCAAGGCATCTTTTAACTTCTTGATGCTCTCTGTTGCGTCTTCGGTGAGGACGAACTTAGGTTCCTTGAGGGTGTTGATCATGGGTCGTGTCAGCTCTGCAAAATCTTTGACAACATTCCTGAACCAATTGAAACTTCCTAGAAGTGCCATCATCATTTTCTTCGTCTTTGGGAGACACATGTCCTGAATTGCCTCAATCTTCTTTGGGTCTACTTCAATTCCATCTTCGGTGAGGTTTGCTCCTGCGAAGGATACTTTCTTCTGGAATAGTCTGCACTTATCCGGGTGGAGCTTTAGACCTGCAGATTCCAGACGTCTGAACAGTTCTGCTAGTAACTCAAACATCTCCTCAAATGTTATTCCACCTGCGATGATGTCATCAACGTAGCCTGCTGCTTTATCCCTCAGGCCTTCAAGTAGTCTATCCAAGAGTGACTGCATCGTTGCTGGGCATCCTTTAAGCCCCAAACTCATAACTATGTTGCGGAAGTGTCCGATAGAGGGGATCGTCCACGCTGTTCTGTCCCGGTGTTCCTCCTTGATAGGGACTTGGTAGAACGCTTCTCGTAGGTCAAGGC